CATGGACATTTTGTGAATTTCATTCTTGAGTTGAACGACTTATGATCTATTTGCATATTGGAATCTTCTTTCTAAGATATTCCAAATATCTGTTGTGTTATTTAAATGAAGTGTGTAGGGTAGTATTGATGGAGATATGGTTGAGAAGATGGATGCAACAAGATTTCGATCTTACTAATTTTTATATGTGATCTGGATTTTCTATTGATGTTCCATTCATCTTGAGTGAATCATGATAGAGTTATAATTGATTTATCTAAAAAAGAATCAAATCTGTTAGTTGTAAGAAGTTTTAGAATCTGTACCTTCCATACAAGATAATTTTCATTCGTTAATAGTGAATTTGTCACTATCTTGGTGTGAGAGATCAAGAATTTGAAGAATGCAGATATATTTATCTCCTTTATTTTGTTGAGAGAGATTGTGGATTGCTGCCGAGAAAGAGGAATCCATAATCTATTTTCTGTTAAGCTGATAGCTCTAATACCATTTAGAGAAAATCAGGAACAAAGAAAGAGAGAAGAGAGAAGAGATGAGAATGAGAATGAGAGGAGGCCTGAATAAGCTAAGTGTTTGTTTCATATATCCCGCTCATTACAAGTATCTGTCTATTTATAATTGCTTACAGGGTTATTTTTGTTTTTTACACAAGATCTACAACCGGATATATAAAATTTTCTACTAGCCTAATGTGCCCTAAGCTTTACTCCTTCCTTCGAATGACAACTCTGGAGGCGTGGTTCTGGAGACACTGAGGGCCCGTTTAGGGCAGCTTATAGGCGCGGGCGGTGTTTTGAAAACCCCGCCGTGCCGTTTGTTTCGTGCTTTCAGGGCGCTTATTGGAAAACACTGTTCCAATTTCTTTAATAGACGCGACCGCAAGAGCGATTCTGCAGCCCGCATCTTGAATCCACGTCAAACGAATTATTTCTTCCCGTGCCCTTCTGTCCGTCTCCTCTCTCGTTCAATCGCTCTTATTCTAGGTTGATCGGTCGCTCAACCCTTCTGGTATCATCCCTCTCCTCTCTCCCTCGTTTCTCGCTCGATCGTTCTTGTCATAAGTTGATCGATCGCTCTTGCAATAGGTAACGTCCCTTGCCTCTCTCCCTTGCCTCCCGTTGGATTGCTTGTTAGTGAGTTGGCTCACTTCTGGTTGGAACATCTATAATGCGATGTTTTCTATATTTTTTTGCTGGATTTTTTTGGTTGCAATGGGTTCTCTCTCTGCTCTGTTACGAAATTTTTCTGTTGCAATGGGTTATCTATAATGTGATGTTTTCTATATTTTTTGTGGATTCCTTTGGGATATTTTATGTTTTTTTGGATAATTTTGAGTTAAATTGGTGAATGAGGCTTTGCACGATTCTCCTTTTCGAATGGCCGTTTAGGGTTGCTCCGTTGCTATATTTGCTTTGGTTGGAGGATGTTGTGGAGGCTGTTTTTGAAACGCACAAACCAAACAACCAACCAGTTTATTTTGCACAGGAGCAGAATGACCATTTATCCAGAAACAATTGTAAATCAGTTGTTTTCTAAACGCACACAAAAAAACTAACCACTTTATCCGGATCAGCTGCTGATCAACACTTATCTGAATCGGTTGCTTATTAGCAGATTATTGATAAACTTCAGTTGCCCCAAACAGACCCTTAGAGTGCCGGGAGCTTCTGAATGGCTGAGAGGTAAGTCATTCAGGCTTGAGAGAACGCGAGGTCCTTCAAGTGTTGACCTTGCAGTTATTTATATGAGGAGATATTAGTTGAGTCCTGGCAAAAATAGATACATGAAAATGGTGAGGAAGTGGAATGATTAGGTTAAGATATATTTTTTAGAAGAAATATCTTAAGAGGCAGAGCTTGAAACCGTCTTTTCAACAAGATGATGATGGAATTTGACAATAAAATGGAGTCATTGATGTCTGTTTTTTGGTATGAGGCGTTTATATAAAATTTCCCTCCTTTTGACAACTATTCTTTTGGCAGTATGCAATGGAAGAACGGTAGAATTTTTTAATGGTGTACCATGATGAATGATGTCATGATTCATTTTGAAGATTGATATATTTGGTACGCATGGAAATTCAAAAAAAAAGACCATGCAAGGACATATAGCACATTAAATAACGTGCATTTTCACATCATCCTGTACTGCTTGCTTGTTTTAAAAGTGCTCGTTTAGATAAGAATTATTCTCGAGCTCGTTTAGGTGGAGGATTGGAAACGGCAGTACTTTGGCTTCACTATTATGTCATCCTCTGCTCTTGTCCATTACAACCTATGCTCTTTCCTTTTGAAGGACTGTACTTTGCACTTTTTAAATAACTTAGTCGTTGATATAATCTACATGAAAATAGTTTTGAATTTTTATCAGTTCCTACGATTGACCTTGTGAATAATTCTTTATCTAAGGTGATTTAGTGGAATCGAGGAGGTGGCGTTATCTTTTGTTTATTTTTGAATGTTGCTATATATATATATAGATAGAACACATTGGCTTGTGAAGTACTCAATTCATGTTGTGACTTAAACTTGGGACTTCTAGAATATACTAGAGGAGAACATAAATGATGCTTCAATCCCCTATCATAACCTCAAAAATTGGTCCATTCAAATCATCAAAATTTAGAAGACCCGCTCATTGGGTTGGACCCATACATCAAGGTGCATGGTAAGTTGATAGATTGCCCTGTCACTCGAGAGGGACTTGCCTCTTTGAAGCTGCCACTGTTGATTGACATAATTGTGGCATTGCAATATGTTGCCTAAGCCATTCCAATTCCTATATATTGAGAAATATAAAATATAATAAAATTAATGAAAAGTGAAATTAGATAATTATACACTTAAAATTGTTGGTGTCATACTATTAGTTAGTGACTTAAAAAAAAATAAGCACACACACAAACAAACAAACAAAAAAAAAAAAGTGAATTAAACCTTCTTTTCCTTTCCTATATAGTGATTTTTTTTGTCATTTACTTTATAATTCACACTTCATTGCACTTTGCTAATGGTTTGAAACTTTTATAGCATGAAGTTAGAAGTGTTTTCTTTCTTTATATCCTATCAGTTGGCCCCAAATCACAAGCAAATAAAAAAAAGGGAAACATATTGAGACTTCTTTCTTATAGTTGTGAGGCTATTGATATACCGACACTTCATTATAAACAGTAGTGCAATGTCTGACATGCTTCAGACTCAGACACATGCTGCTTGTGTCCAACACTTGTCAGACACGCCTATCGCGTGTTCTTAATATTTAAGTTTAAATTTAAAAAATAGTATCATAGCGTATAATAAAATATTAAATTTTAATAATTTATGTTGTACCAAATAGCTTATTTTTATTTTTTGTATACAATATTCTAATAAAATACTGATGATCATAGTTTCTTTTAATTAAATTTGGATTACTTACTATTTTTTTTATATACTTCATATTTTTTTAGTAATTATTTTACTTTTTCCCTATTATCTTAATTTATGAATAATATGATAACTATTTTTACTTTTCATTCTTAAATGTCATTATTTTTTCATATTTATGTGATTTGTATATATTATTTAATATATATATTATAATGCCATGTCAAAGAAGTGCCACATCTTATAATTTAAAAAATAGGTATTTCTTGTGTAAATGTCCCTACATTTGTATGATTGTATCGGTGCATCTTAGCTGTCAGGTCAAGCAATACCAACTCTTCTAGCCTCCGTGTTGGCTATCAACTTACTTATTGGCTACACATATCCATTGACTATTTTCTTTGTTGCTTTCTCTTGCCGGATCCTATGGTGATTGGAAATTTGGAGTGATAGCAAATTTGAGAAATAATCACTGCAAACATGTGAATTGATAACTACAGAAATCATGGTAACGGGTTACAATAAAGTTGACATTGAAGTGGCAAGGCAATGAAAACAAGGTTGGCTAATGATAAAACATAGCCAATTTAAAGACATCAATATCTTACAATCATGACAGTAAATATTGGTGGCTTGTGTTGTCAACATGAAATATAGCATCAACATGATTATTCTCTTGATAAATTCTTTGGTGCAACTTCCTTGTGACTTGTCCCCCCATTGGTTAGAGTGTTGGAGCCATTTTTTTGTTGACAATTACGATTCAATTGGAGTGTTTTTGTGTACTCATTAGCCCACTTTAATATTGTTAATTGCATGTTTGTGAATCATCATGTCTCTTGAGCAGTCAGGAAACTGCATTTCATCTAATTAAAACCAACAAAATTTTGTAACTAAAAATTCTGAGACCAAACCCAGCTCTATTTAACATTGAACATGCAGACAATCAATTCCTTTTATTACTTTTGCATTTATTTCATTTTAAGCTTTAGTTATGAAAGCAACATTTTTTTGGATTATTTTGTTCCCTATTGAAATATTTCTTTCTTTAGTGCGAATGATATTAATGGTAGTTTAGGATGGTAGTGCTGTAAGCAGCTTTTTTACATGAAACTATAAATAATTTATGTTGTATTTCAGGAGGTAATGATATCCATCTTTCTTCTTCTAATATTAAACGGTATTGAGACTCATGCTAGTCATATGCTGATAGCTACTCAAATTATAATAAATTTGCACGATTTAATTATGGAAGAAAATGATCGTTTTGCTTGATATTGAAGAAAAAAATGAGTTTATAATTTCAAATTCTTCATGACCTGATACTCTTCGATTTTTTAACAAGGTCAACTGGGAACTAAACCATTAGTTTTATTTTGCATGATATTGTAGGAAATTATGATATTATTATTACAAAATTTTCTTTTTCTGATGCCCTTTGATTCTGTTAACAAAATCAATTAGGACCTAAACTAATATGTATTCAGTGTCTTAAAGCTTTTGTGAGACATTTTATTTTTTGTCATTACTCATCCTTTTATTCTCAATACTGATTATCGTATTAGCCATCTTTTAATTCATTACTTCAGTTCCCTGATTCGTGAACTTTTCTCTTACCTAGTATTATTCATGCAGGAAGCAGCGAAACTGTTAGTTCTTCAACTTTGAAATTCCTAGACCTTTCTTCAAATTTAATATCAGGCCAATTACCCTCTAACCTTGCTAACTGTATATCAGTGGATTTGAGTAAGAACATGCTCTCAGGAGATCTAACGGCAATGCAAAATTGGGGTTATACATTGGAGGTTATCAAGTTGAGCTCAAATGATTTGGCAGGCTCTCTACCTTCTGCATTAGGAAGCCACCCTAAGCTATCTATAGTTGATCTTAGTCTAAACAAACTTACAGGATCTGTGCTTCCAAGTCTCTTCACCTCATTAACTCTGACATGTTTGAATCTATCAGGAAACCACTTTAACGGTTCAATTCAGTTTCAAACTTCGCACCCGACTGAATCATTGACTATACCTTATAATCATTTACAAAGCCTTGATTTATCTAACAACTCATTATCTGGTTCAGTACCTCCTGAAATCAGTAGTATGCCAAGCCTTCAAGTTTTACGTCTTGGAAAAAATACTTTATCTGGGGAACTGCCTGTTGAAATAAGCAAACTCGGTGGATTGGAAGTTCTCGACCTCTCTTTCAATCATTTTAAAGGAAGGATTCCAAATATGCTTCAGCCAGATCTTAAGCTATTTAATGTTTCCTATAATGACCTTTCGGGTGAAATTCCTCAAAGTTTGTTGAAGTTTCCAATGTCATCATTTTTTCCTGGAAATTCTTTGCTAGTTTTTCCCAACCACATTTCTTTTGGGAATAATAACGGTGCTGTTAATGAAAACATGAGTCAGCATAAGCACTCAAAGGCTGGCATTGAAATTGCGCTTATTGTTGGTTCAATTGGAGCTGTGCTACTGATATTCTTCTTGTTCATCGCATTCCGAAGGACAAGATCCCAAGAATTTTGTCTGAAGAGCGGGCTTAGAGGACAAGTTACTGGAATGGATGTCAAGGGTATATTTGGGCATCCCAACAGGTTCAAAGGTTCAAAAGATGATCCATCACCAACTTCAATCAGTTTTTCAAACGACCATTTACTAACTTCTACTTCTCGATCAACATCTGTGCGGAAGGATTTATTAACGGAGTCAATGGAATACGGCTACGGCTATTTGGATTCCAGGAATTCTGCTGCGGAACCATCATCTGGTCTTTCAATGATGGAATGCAAGTCTTCACCCGGTTCTCCTTTGTCTTCCTCACCTCATTTTGCTGATTCCCATATATCTGAGCAGCCGGTGTTGTTGGAAGTATATTCGCCTGATAGGTTTTTAGGAGAGCTATTTTTTTTGGATCTTTCTCGAACATTCACGGCTGAAGAATTATCAAGAGCTCCTGCTGAAGTTCTTGGGAAAAGCAGTCATGGAACATCATATAAAGCAACCTTGGATGGCGGACATATTTTGACTGTCAAATGGTTGCGAGCCGGTCTAGTCAAACATAAAAAGGAGTTTGCTAGAGAAGCAAGAAGAGTTGGAACCATCAGACATCCAAATGTTATCTCATGGAGGGGCTATTATTGGGGTTCCAGTGACCAAGAAAGATTAATTGTTTCAGACTATATTATTGGGGATAATTTGGCTCTCTATCTGTATGGTAAGTGCTATTTATACTGTTCCAAAGAAAATTATACAAGTTTGTGCATGTGTCTCTTCTTTGTGTTTCATTTTGTTAACTGTTTTTGTTCATTATTTGTCTGGATTTTTTCCTTAATGCTCATCAATAATAACTAATATCTCAAGTGAGGCGGTTCTTTCTCTTTGGTTTTATTTATAGGGTTTTGGCAAGTGAGAAATTTCTCTAGGCAATCAAAGCAAATAAATGCTAAAATTTTAGTGGAATTTTAAAATTTTCTTCAGTATTTCAGCACAAACAACAAATTTCATGACTACTCATTTTCATCAATACTTCAACATAAAAAAATCTCACCCAGGCATCTGCTTTGTTGGGAATTTTTTTCTTTAATCAGATTCTACAAGGAGCAGATACTCCAGGTTATCAGTTAGACACAGACTAAAAGTAGCCATTGATGTAGCTCGCTCCTTGTATCATCTTCATAATGATAGAAGATTACCCCATGGTAACCTGAAACCAACAAACATACTCTTGACCAGTCCGGATCTAACGGCAAGACTTACAGACTACGGTCTTCACCGTCTACTAACCCATAACAGCATTGCCGAGCAGATTTTAAATCTCGGAGCGCTTGGTTATCGAGCTCCTGAATTGGCCACAAGCAAACCCTTGCCATCATTCAAAGCTGATGTTTATTCTTTTGGGGTAATATTGATGGAATTGCTGACAAGAAAATGTGCTGGCGATATAATCTCCGGTCAGTCTGGTTCCGTGGACCTTGTTGATTGGGTCCAAATGTGCGCCAGAGAAGGACGTGGATCAGATTGTTTTGATAGAGATATTGTGGGCTTAGATGAAGCTCCAAATGTAATGGATGAACTGCTTGCTGTGTCACTAAGATGTATTCTTCCTGTAAAGGAGAGGCCTGACATTCAGACCATATTCCAAGAACTGAGTTCCATAACAATTTGATATTCCTGTACATGTTTTTTGGAATTAATTTGCCATTTATTTTTTTCTCTTGGCTTGAAAGCTGGTTTTCCAATGTCAGTCTAAAAAGACTGATCCATTTGATTGATTTGTCTGAATTTCTACACTGAGTAGAATGTGATTAATTTTACTTTTTGTTATTGATGAATGATGTTTGCTTTAATCTAACAGTTAATTGTCCAATGTCCTTTTTCTATTATACCTAGTGTTTATGAGGGGCTTAACCTGTTCTTCATGAGTTGTTTTGAATTTCTATCTGTTTTATCTTAAATTTAACATTTTATCCGAATATTTTACTCCAATGTTATTTGATTTTTTTGGTAGGTATGGCCTTCTAGTCATACCCTTTGAATCATTTGCTTATTTCAACAATTTTATTTTTAATAGATGCTTTTTCAATTTATTTTTTAATATTATATTTTAAAAAATATATGTATTGACATATTTTCATTTTTTATTGACATATATTGTAAGTTATGACGCACAAATAAGAACATGGCATAAGAATAACACACTACACATTTATTAATGAAAATATAAAATATATGCTTTTTCTTCACACCTCATAATTTATAAATTTAATATATAGAAATATTTTTTAGTACTTATATTATATAAGCAAGGAGTGGGTCATCAAAAACTAATATAGTAAAGAAATAGAACCTTATGATGGCCAAGGATGCAAAAATAAATAAATATTTAAATCATGTGTATATCATAAACTCATTGTTGTTAAAGAAACAATTATATTAAAAATAGGAACATTTACATATATACCACTCAATTCCTATATATTTACGTATCTAACACATAAATTTCAATTTTTGCATGAATGACACCTTGACAACTGGGTGATTCATGCTTTCTTCCGCTGAGTTGAATGGGCCGTTATTGTGAGTTAGAGATTTGATTCTGAGCTATGTCATCTACTTTATTCTCCCAAGGCACAATAACCCTACAGCATTGAAAGTAAATCCTCCATTTGTTGTTCTACTTTCAAGTGAAAACTCAGGCAATCTAAAACCTCATATATGATAGAACCGTCAGGGTGAACTCTGTCATCCACAAAAAATGAATGAGCCTTCCCATTCACCTGCACAATACTCTGACCAGCTGATTTCTTCAACCCCTTCCTTCTCATCATCACCCTCACCTTCGCCACGCCCTCCCACCTCTCTTTCGAAGCATGCATATTGGCCATTGCAACATAAGGCACGGTAGCATTCGGATCTAATTCAAATAGACGGCTTGCGACGTACTCGCCAATTTCAGTCTCCTGGTGAACCATGCAAGAACCAAGAAGAGCACCCCATACACCACAATCTGGCTCAATGGGCATTGTCCTGATGAATTCTAATGCCTCCTTTAACTCCCCTCTCCTCCCAAGTAAATCTGCCATGCAAGCATAGTGTTCTAATCTTGGTTCCACACAATAAACCTTTGTCATCATATGAAATAACTCCCTCCCTCTTTCAAGCAATCCTCCATGAGTGCAAGCTTGAAGAACTGAAAGGAAAGTCACGTGATTTGGCTCAAACTTCTGTTCAATCATCTGAGAAAAAAGACTCAAAGCTTCTTCAAAATCACCATTCATGGCACAACCGGCGATTAAGGTTGTCCAAGAAACCACATTGCGCACCCTCATGCGCTCAAAAACTCTGCGTGCATCTGAAATGCTTCCACATTTAGCATACATATCAATCAGTCCATTACAGACCATGACATTCTCCAGAAGCCTGTTGTTCGACATCACATATCTTTCCATTGATCTACCAAATTCAACAAAACCAGTCAGGCTACAAGCTGACAATATGGCAACCACTGCTACGGCATCAGCTCTCTCCCCACTGTTCTCCATTTCATGAAACAAATTGATGGCCTCATTGATATCACCTGCTCTTGAATATCCACTGATGATTGCAGTCCAAGATACACAATTTCTCTGACTCATGCTGTCAAAACAGTATCTAGCAGAGCTGATATCACCAGATTTATAGTAAAGTGAAATCAGAGTATTTGAAACACTGATGTCCGAATCAAACCCTGCTTTGATGGCTAGAGAATGAACAAGCTCTTCCCTGGAACCGAGTCTTCAGAATGGCCGAAAGCCGAGAGCAAGCTGAGAATTGTGCTCAAATCTGGCCTCGTCCCATCCCGGCACATCGATTTGAAGTGAGCAGCAACTTCATCAGATCTGCCAAGATATCCAAAGCCCGCAATCATGGAGTTCCATGACACAACCGACTTTGTACTTTGGGGAATCTCTCTGAACACTGATTCAGCTGAGTCCAAATCTTCACACTTGGCGTAGCATGCTATCAAAGTGTTGGAAACAGAAACATTATATCCAAATCCTATTCTGATTCCGAAGCAGTGAACAGCTTTCAGAAGGCCTACTGCATCTGATTTATTAGCACAAGATTGAGCCAAGCTCGTGATGGTTATCGAATCAGGCTTTATTTCTTCCAATTTCATTTTCTGAAAAAGAAGAAAGGCTCTTCCATGCGCATACATATCTCCAGCCAAACCAACGAAGATAGCATTCCAAGCGGCAACGTCTCTGTAGGACATTTCATCGAACAATTGCTCTGCATGATCCAGAAGCCGGTTTTTAGCGTACAAATCGACCAATGAAGTGGCAACGAAGACATCGGAGGAGAAGGGGGATTTGAGAATATGGGTATGGATCATTTGGGGTAGATTTACGTTTGAAAGCTTGGCGCAGGATTTGAGGAGGAAAGGGAAGGTTAGATGATCGGGGTGGATGCCGGCAAGCCTCATGCGCCGGTAAAGAAGGAGAGCTTCGCTGTGGAGGCCATTGCCGACCGTTGCTCTGATGTTTGAATTCCAGAACGCAACGGTCGATTGGTTTAAAATAGAGGTGAAAGCTCTAGAGGAAGGCATATCTCCATGGCCTTCACGGTGAGCTGAAGAATTTGTCAAATGAGCAATCATACCAGTCCCGGAAGTAAATCTTATTTTGCAACTACTCTAATTCAACAAGCTTTATTTATTAGTAGGCAGCCACTTAAAACATAAAATAATAAATTAGCCAACATCTAAAATGGCAAAATTACCAAAAGGAGAGCTATGGGAAAAAGAAGAGAAAAACCTCCTCTCCTTCAAACTTCTCCACCTTATTTCTTCCTATCCTCTTCCTAATTTCTGAGGGTTCTTTTGAAGTCTTTGGAAGAAGCTTCTTGAGGAAAAGAAACTTCATCTCCTTTGAAAAGGGAGAGTTTCTCCATCCTTTGGAGAAGCGGCGAGGCTATCATCACCAGAGCGTGGTAGGAGCTTGTGGGAGCTCGGATCAAGTCCAGAGAACACGTCTTCAACTATCACGAGAGTGAGATTTTCTTTAAATCTAAATGTCATTCCTTTTCTAGTAAACCATTAGGGCTTTTGTGTTAGAGCAAGCCACTAGGTTAGGAGGCTTTTTGCGTTGACTACCCTTAAGATCCCATTGGAGTTCCAAACTCTCAGCACACCAAATCTACAGTCGAAATCCAAAATTTACATGGTTTTGAGTGATTCCAACCTTCCATGGAGAGGTTGGGGCATTTGGGGGTTGTAGAATGAAGGCCATTTCCCTCCACAAGTCATGGAAGATTTTCCTTCAAAAAAAAAAATCAGAAGAAAATCCCCCACCTGATTTGCCAAAATCAGAGGTAAACTTGCTACATATCCATAAATCGAAGCCTAAGAATCCTATGAGAGAATGCTAGGATGAGTCTAGCTTGCTATCAAACACGTAAGTATTGCATTCTCTTGCATGTACTTGCATGATGCTTTACATGTAGCATTTCAAATATCACTTTGGTTTAATTGGCCACCCAGACCCGTTCAATCGAACACTTTGGTTTGATTGTACGCCCCGACCTGATCGATTGATCACTTCACCTTGATCGGTCGCCCTGGCCCAATCGACCGATCACTTTGGTTCCGATCGACCGCCTTGGCCCATTGGACCGATCACTTCGGCTCGATAGCAGATAGACGGATCACTTCGCCTCAATAGGCCCATCCGGTCCGATCGACCAATCACTTCTATTCGATCGTCCGACTCAACCTGATCAACTGATCACTTCAGTCCGGCGACCGCCCTAGGTCGACCGATACCTTTTGGCTGTGAGACCTGGTCGATCCAATGGGTCAAGTGGCCAAATCCGCTTGCAAATTGCATTTGTTGCACGAGTGTTTGCATTACTTTCATGACGTTGCTATTTGCTTGCATCCATTTTTGTGTGCACAAAAATATATATTTTTGATTTGTAATGTGTTAAATACTATTGCATGATGGAAAAAAAAAAAATCAAATTTTGCCTTTATCATTTGCTTACACTTGGTTGCTCAATGAGCACTAGCACTTGTGGTATCACTACAGACATTTGCCATCATATGTGTGTGACTTGATATTTGCATATCTTTAGCTTGCGGTAGCTAGCTATGCTAGCCCGTTGGTGTGTGAATTTCCTAAACGGAGGACGTGTCGCCTAACCTTTTATGGCATCACACTTGAAAGTCATGAGCAGTTGTTGTATGCTCAATTTGGGTCACGCTTTAGAGTCAATGAACCCATTGAGCGCACAACACGCATGTAATTGAGTCTGTCATTTGCATTCTGCTTGATGTTGAAGTCACCTTTCGACGCCTATCATGATTGCTCGTACCTCGCTCGAGTGATCACTGTGTGGACTTTTGTTGCTTGCATGCACTTTGTCTGTCGATCTTGGTAGCAACTTAGACCATTTAGGTGAGTGACCCTGTGTTGATCGTGATGCTTTATCAAGCATTGTTTGTCGAGTAAATCTCGACAAGCAATGTAGGTTATTACATTGGGACCAATACAATAATGACTGTTCTAAAGTTCCAAGGAATCTAACGTATGCCGCCTCACATATTACGGGCCCACATTTAATGATCCAAATTTTAAAAATAATAAAAAATTATGTTTTCTCTGTCTATTATTCATCATTATTTTAATACTATGCAATTAACAAAACTAGGCCATATGTGAGACAAACTCATTTAAAATCGTCTTGGGTGAAATACATTAGACCCTTTGGATCCATAGAAGGGGGTCGCAATTGAAGACCCTGCTAAAGTCATACGGGAGCCTTTACCCCAACACTTTTGCACACACTTAGATGTTGTGACTAGGAAACTACTTGGTATATAATGTGCTAGGCTAAGATTAGGGTGCTTAGGTAGTCTTTTTGATATCCTAACTATTATTTTATGTTGATTTGTTTGCCCTAGCCAAACATCTTTTTTGTGTGTTGTCTTTTGTGTGTTTACTTGGTGTGAACTTATATATTAGTATATTAGGAGTTGTTTTATGTGATGGGATCTATGCCTAAACACAAATAAAAAGGGAGAAGCAAGTAATGATTTAAAACCTAACATATTTTGCATGTGATGTTAGGCTCCCCTCCCGCAAGTCATGACTCATATGTGTTGCATAATATAATCCATGCTAACCTCTTATGCAGGTTGGTTATTTCTTTTTATTTTATCATGTATTTGATGGAGTCCATAGGGTCGAGCCTATATCATAAATAAGATATGTGCATGAGTTTTGAATATCAAATAGTTTTTTGAGAGAAGATCATCATAAAGAAGTTTTTGTTCAAGTTTGAGATGCAACTCTCTTTGAACATCCTTCAAATCCTTGATAGTAGTAGTAATATAATTAGAGGAATTCGGGTAGCTCGTAATACTTTTTATAAGAAAATAAGTTATTTTACAAGAGATACAAAATGATTATTAACTTTTGGAAATTTGAAATAATTAGTTTTATTAATTTGTAGAGGCATTTACATACACACTACATATTTTATATGAATGTACTTATCTAAACACCAAAGAGTCAATGAATATAGAAAGCAAAATCTCAATTTAAGAGTTGATGACGCTGAAGCTCATCTTCATTGAAAAAAATGAGAACCTTTCTCTTATGTAAGATTTATATGTATATATATATGTCATTCAAATTGTATTTACATATCTAACACCTAAACTTTAATTTTTAACATGCATGCCACCTTATTTATGCTTGGAAAATTTGAACTTTTAAATCAGAAATTCCGTTAATTATACATAATATTAAAATATATTTAAAACAAAGAGTTAACAGCGGATCCGTGGCGCAATGGTAGCGCGTCTGACTCCAGATCAGAAGGTTGCGTGTTCGATTCACGTCGGGTTCAAAATATCCCGAAATTCTTCGATCCCCTTTTTTAATCATGTAATTATTGCCTGGGAGGCTCTCTGTATTTAATATTATATTTTCTAATGCAATGGCGGCGCATCTCACATACAAGCAATTTTTTAATCTAGTAGCGTAAAAAAGGTGTTAAGGCGCATTTAATTTTGACTTAAGCATGATTAAATAATAATTATATGTATGTTTATATGTTCAAATCTGCTCCACATTGAAACTATAAATGATTTTTGTTTAGGCACCTAATATAATAGTAAGAAAACAGCAATTAATATGAAATAATAAGAATTTATTTGATTTAATATAATTCGAATTATTTTTAATAATTTATATTTAAAATTTTGGATTTTAATATATTTTTAAGTTTATTTAATATTAAGGAGATTTACATACCAACCACTCAATTTCTATGTATAAGCATATTAATAACTTAAACTTTAATTTTTACAATACAAACCTATATTTGAACATATAGGAATGTATGTAGAAATTAAAGTTTAGGTGATTAATATATCAATACATAGAAATTGGGTGGTACATTGATTGATTTACATACCCCCTCCTCAATCCCCACGGTTCACTCCTCTTCCACTCACAACCACCCAATCTCAGCAGCATTATGGCCAATCCTCTTGGCATCCAATATCAAACAAGCATTACCATGCCATGTATTTGTCTAAGAAAATTAAAAATGTGTGTAATAATTCAACATTTTAGATTTTTGCTATTTCAAACAAATAAAAAAATTCAGATTTTTAATATATGTAACTAAATAGCCCATTTTAATCATTTTTTAGGGCATCTTCATTCAACTTGATTAAGATGGCTCTTGGTCAAATTGACTTCTTTAGTTCAAAAATATTTGATGAAAAGTTTCCCTTGAGCTATATATAGGTTGTTTGATATGCTTGATCAAATTTCATATGACCAAATAATCTCAGTTAACAAATACAATTTTGAACCACATTTTTTAGGTCTAATAATTAGATTATAATCCTACTTAATGATATGTACTTGGATAAATATTGGTACACATGAACACTAGAATATGATGTTTAGTCAAATTTGACATAATTAAAAATAGCCAATTTTCCATCAAACTCTCCTTTCAAGAATTATTTTTTTGCATTTTGCTTTGAGAAAGTACACTCCATTTCCATCAAACTCCCTCCTCCTACCATACCTCCACAAACATCAACTACTTGCACAAGCACTTTCAAAACATTTGTGAACAAGATGTACAAATAAATCATATCATATAAAGGAGAAAAATAAGCAAAATATTAGAATTAATTTCAACATAATCATGGTTATGCTAATTATTTTATTCCTTGATTATAACATATGTATATACAAATTTACCTGAGAAAACAGATTCCTACAAGCTATGTAATTAAATTTCTATTTACTTTTAACTCGTTCATTTTTCTATAATTTGCAATATAAAACAATATATACATTTTTTGTCATTTGCATTTTCTGAGGAGAGAAGCATTTAAAAGATGTATATTAATTGATGTTAAACAGACTCGTCAACATTATCATTATCATTATCATCATTGGCGTCAAGCTCAAGCCCTTCTGCTGCTAATAACTGATTAATGGCATTTTTCTTCTCCTGCTCCGACTTTCTGCGCATCAAATCCCTCTTCTTCAAAACAAGCGTATGTCTCCTCAATGTGTTGTTGATGTATTCCTTTGACGCCGCCTTCTCCTTCGCTAATATCCGTCTCTCTTCCTCCGGATCAATCTGAAATCCAAACTCACAACTTCCATCTATTACTTTATTATTACCATGTATACTTACAAAAGAAACCATATACACTCCAGCATCAAAATACTTTTTTGACACTTCTATCAAAATATGTATATATATATATAGAGAGAGAGAGAGAGAGAGAGTAGTCAACATACCTTTGAGCGAGAGAGACGACGCACTCGAACATTCAACTCACGCTGTTGTTGCTCAGCCCAAGCTGCAATGGCCATATCACCTCTCTGCTCAAAAGCTCTTCTTTTTTTCATCAACCATTCCGTCCAAGCTTGAGAAGCCTGACAGAAATGAAGCACGCAGTTATGTAAAATATATGAAAGTATCATACAAGTTTTCTGATAAAATCTGCTAACTGCACGCTCATTCATACAATCATTGCAGCCTGTTCTTGTAAACTATTTCTCAATATCATCTTACAGACAGACGAATTCCTTACATTTTGATCTCATAATAATCCCTTAGACATTTTATAAGATCCATGCTTGCACCAAAGTTTAAACTCTTATAAAAAACTACACCAATATCATAAGCATCAGAAGTCACGCAATTATCACGGATATGATTTCAGTTCTGTCTCATTATGACCATAGATCCGATCCTATAAAAAAGAGCAAGTCATATTACAATGGTGAATGTGATAATTATTCAAATCATCATGAACTTCATAAGCATCATAGTTCAACATTAAGAAAGACAACTGTTTATAAATATGATAGTGGCCCAAATTCTTATGATGACTGAAGGTCTTACAGCGGCTATACATATGATTTTTCAATCCATTACATCCAAAACTATCATGTAATAACACATCATTATCATCACCATTTTCTAAAAATCCAAAGGCTCGGAAACGTGTATTTACAGAGGTTGAAGATTTGTCACCCCCGGCATTTCAAAAATATGATTATTTGCTAATTTGATCACTGAAGATTTAAGATTATTACAATCTGAGTTCTGCAGATGAGTTAAATGATATCGATGATGATCAATCATCAATAACTGAGTTTCTCTCTATTCATCAACTTTAACTATGGAATCCTCATTGAATAAAACTGAATGGGGTCAGCTTTATGAAACCTTAATGTTCACAAGTCATTTTAAATAACTTCAATAAATGCAGCCGCAAGTCTATTAAAGTGGGTTGGGTCACCATGCTTGTCTAGCAACTGTGAATATTCAACAAGTTCAAGCAATGCAAGAATTTGTTGATAGTAACTGACTTGGTCAACATATCAGCTGCATCCTCATTATTACGAACCTTTTGCAACAGTATCTCACTAGAAGCAATCAATTTTCTAATCTTGTGATACATGATATCAATGTGCTTAGTTCTCGCATGGTACACCTGGCTCTTAGCCAGATATATAACACTAACAATCACAATACAACTGAACTCCGCCTTCCTCAACACCCAGTTCTTTTACTAGCCCAGTAAGCATAAGGTTTTTTTAGCAGCTTCAGCTACTGCCATATACTCAGCTTCAATTGTAGATGATGCCACAATAAACTGAACTGTTAATTTCCAACATATCGACCCTCCACCAAGAGTAAATACATACCTGATTGCAGACCCTCTGTTATCAAAATCACCTGCATAGTTTGAGTCCACGTACCCCATAATTGAAGGATTATTTTGTTGATTGCCAAAAATAATTTCATGTCCTACAATAGCTTTTAGATACCTGAAAATTCACTTGAGTGCTTCCCAATGTTGCTTTTCAGATTTAGACATGTGTTTGCATACTTGACTAACAACATGAGCCAAATCAGAGATACTACATACCATTACATGCATCAAGCAACCAACTACACTGACATATAAAACTTTTGTCATGTCTTTGATTTCCCTATCAGTCTTAAGACACTGTTCTGAAGAAAACTTAAAATGATTTGCTAATGGAGTGCTCACAGGCTTTGTTTTGATCATCTCAAATATGTCTAACACTTTCTCCACATAGTTTCATTGAGAAAAACATAATCGTCTCGAGTATCTATCTCAATGAATCTCTATTCCAAAAATCTTCTTTGAAGAACCAAAGTCTTTCATGTCAAATTTCTGGCTCAATAAAGCTTTCAAACAAAGATCATGCATATTTTTTGCAGCAATCAGTATATCGTCAACATACAGTAACAGAAAAACAAAAGAACCATCATCAAAACTATAAACATAAACACAACAATCATACTCACACCGTTTGTATCCAATATGAATCATGTAGGAGTTAAACCGTTTGTACTATTGTCTTGGAGATTATTTTAACTTATACAACGATTTCTTTAACCTGCAAATCAGATACTTCTGTTCAGGTGAAGTGAACCCTTTTGGCTGCTCCATATAAATTTGCTCCTCTAGATCACCATGCAGGATGCAGATCCCAAATAGTTACTAATGCAATCACTGCCCTGATTGAAGTATGTCTGAAATCGAGAAAAAAATTCATCATAATCTATCCCCTTTTGCTGTGAAAATCATTTTGCTACCAGCCGAGCCTTGAGCTTTTCCCTTCCTTTTTCCAATACAGCTGATTTTCTTTTGTACACCCACTTGCACTCGATAGTTTTTTTTCCCTCAGGAAGCTGAATTAGCTTCTATACATAATTTTTCTGTAAAGACTTCATCTCTTCAACCATTACACTCATCATTTCTCTTTTGTTTGGCTAGTGATAGCTCATTAAAAAGTGGTTGGATCATCACTGCTGATGAGAAATACACAAAAGACCAAGTATTCAAAACTCAATCTACTTTGAAGTCTTATATTAGTGCGTCTCCGTCTATCTCTAACTAGATTGTAATTCTGCAAGTATCTGTATTAGAATCACCAGGAGTTGGATTTAGACTTTCAACTATCTCAGTTATTTCTGGATGTTCTAAATCCATCAACACTGTATCAGAAATGAAACTATTTTCTGACACCTTGTCTTAATGTTGTTGCAACATGAACTGCTTATCAAAAAATGGCATCTCTACTGATCATCATATTCTTTGCAATTGGATCCCAAAACTTGAATCCTTTCACACCTTTCTTGTAGCCCAGAAAGATGCACTTTTTTGATTTTGGATCAAGTTTTGATCTTTCATCATTAGGTACATGCACATAAGCAATACAACCAAAATTCATAAATTATCAACATTAACTGCATTACTTGTCCATACCTCTTCTACAACCTTGCCACTCAATGATGCCCGAGGCGATCTATTGATGAGGTAGCACGCCATATTTACAGTTTTAGCCCAAAAACTTTTAGAAAGCTTTGCATTCAGTATACAGTATCTTGCCCTTTCAGTTAAAGACTTGTTCATCCTTTTTACAATGTCATTTTATTTTGGTGTCTTGCAAACTGAAAAATGCCTCTGAATCACATGCTCCTTACAAAATTTCTGAAACTGTGAATATGTATACTCCATGTCATTATCAGACCTCAAATACTTGATTTTTCTATCAGTTTGGTTCTCCACCTCAATTTTCCACAGCTTGAATTTAGAGAAAACTTCAAATTTCTACTTCAAGAAATACACCCAAACTTTCTTGAAGAAAACATTAATAAATGTAACATAAAACAACGATACTCCCAATGACGATTCCCTAGTAGGACCCCATACATCAGAATGCACATAATCAAGAATCTCTTTGGTTTTATGTTTTTCAGTCATGAAACCGACTCTAGTCTATTTTCCAAAAACACCGAACTTTCAAAATTGAGTTTGCAGCTTTTAACGCATGCAACAGATTTCTTTTATGCAATTCATTCATCCCATGTTTACTAAAATGACCAAAACGCACGTGCCACAATTTTGTGTTATCATCATTTGACTCAAAGGAGTTCTCCAGCTACAACTGTACTCCCCAACAATTTGTAGATATTCCTTGCAATTAACTTTCATTTCATCGCAGTCAATGCACCCGTAACAATTCTGATTATTTCTCTATCCTCATCTGCTTTAGGAATAAAACAATTTCTATGTAGAGTGCCTAAAGAAATCAAATTTTTCTTCAAATCTGGAATAACTCTGACAACACATAATATTCTAACATTTATGTGAAATCACGTGTAGCATCAGATCAGACATAACTATCTTAAATTACTCCTCCAGCGATCTTCTGTCTCCCGCCGAACCTGCGATTCTGTCTCGTGCCATAATTAAACCCCCGAAGCCCTCGCCGGTCACCTAATCCTTGGCGCGAACCGCCGTAGCCTTCACCGAACTGCTGCAGCCATCACAGAACTCTGAGAAATTCACCAAACAATCAAGAAGAAAACATAGAGATTTACTGACGTTTGACAATTTGTCTACGTCCTCAAGAGCAGAGCGGCAACTTTCTTTAAAATTTATCAAAAAGAGTACAAATCCCCATTAGGGTTACAATAGAGCGCGGGCGCGCGCGCGTGCACACACACACACATATATAACCTTGGCGTACAATATATAATTACAAAATTGCCCCAGCACTGCGCGACATTGCCCTCGCACGCCCAACCCACATAACAAAAAAACTCCTCCAACTAGACAAATAATTCCGCTCGTGAGACCACTCCACTCCAGCATTCGTCCCTTGTGTGGTATATGAGCCATACCGAACAATAGCTCAAGCTGCATAATGTGTAGCCTAATCTGATATAGTTTAAATTGGTTAAGCACAATACAAATATTAACCAAATGCACTTTAAAAATCTATATTGAACCAAAAACCAAACCATCAAAATAAAATAGAACGAATTATATTATTTGGTTGAGTTTTCAAATTTAAGCAAGATTATAATCACAAGATATAGACTAAATCCCAATTCATTGTATAGTCCTAATATAACAGGAAGCCACTTGATCAATTTAAAGCTACTTCTAATATTAGCAAGCAATCCATCAAACATTCCTTTAAATACTAGAACTTATCTATTATGAACCATACGTCTATAACTTACATATGACCAAATTAACTCTTGCAATACTTTTCCATTATACCCTTCTAAGATCAACAAAAATCAAATGAAGGTCAATTCCTCGCTTTATACTTTTCAACCAGTTATCTTAGCACCAAAATTACCTCCCTAATTTAACTCGTTCTCTTAGAACCAACATTGACTCCGTAATTTTCTCAAGAGCTCGCATGGCATAAAAAAAAACTAAGATAATCAATCCCAAGTCAGATAAGAAGGATTGATCACTCAATTAAAGCAGACAAACAACAATAAAACTTCCATCAAAATCATCCAATGAACCCTTTTCTCCGATGATGAATTTATAATATTTAAGACATAGCATTTTAATTTATTATGCTAATCCATGATGAATTAGAGAACATTTTTACTTAACACCAAATTCATTATTTTTATGACTAACAAAGAAAAATACCTTCATAGGGTTGAGACGAAGATCTCTATCATATTGTCCACGCTTTTCCTCATCCATAAGAAGTTCATATGCTGCTTGAATTTTAATGAATCGAGCTTCAGCTGTTTCCCCTTTCTCCAGTGTCTCCCGGCCATCATAAACTGCGAAGAGAATGATAAAATTAGTTCATACTACTGTAGAAAAACAAAAGAAGGCGGACAATGTCAACTAGTTTATCAAAGATACTCCATTAAATCACAAGATGTTCACCTTTTTATTTTAAAAAAAAAAAAGCTTGAAACTGAAAAGAAAGACCATATTTGCAAAAGAATGCATCAAGTTTTCACAATGACATGCATGTATAAATCTTCAGTCATAATCTTCGGCTTTTTGTGCTCCCTAGCGTTTTATTCGCGCCCAAAGGTGTCATAATTTTAAGTTCCTTCGAACACCCTATCTGAATTATCATAGGTAATCTCACGTCTGCTGAGGCGTTTGCTCTATGCCCTCAGTCATAATCTTCGGCTTTCTGTACTCCTGAGTGTTTTTTGTGTGCCCAAAGGTGTCATAATTTTCAGTTCCTTCGAACACTCTGTCTGAATTACCATAGGTAATCCCACGTCTGCTGAGTCATTTGCTCTTGTTGTACCATTTTCCGTTGACAGTAATAAAAAAAAGGTTTTTTTGCTTATTATTCTCCTGCTTTGAGTAAATATTATAATGCATAGTGTTTTTGATAGTGAGGCGAGATATGGGGCACACCCCCGCATATACTCACCGCACTAATACTTCAGAGAGGGCTATTGTCAGCCCAAGGCAAAGAGGATACGGAAGGTTCCCACCATCGCATCTCTTATGGTTTCACCTCCAGTTCCGGAGGCTACTATTCTGATCCGAAGAAATTTTTCCCTTCAGTCGATTGTAGCTCGGAGCTACCTTGGGTTAACCTCGGGAAGGAGTTCGAGACCGATCCTGAAGGTGACCTGTGCTCGGATTCTTCTGATGTTCATAATGATCTCCTCAAGGAGGATGATCTTCTTGGTGAGGAGTTGCACGACTATGAGAGGGCAACTCACCATGTCATGCTCGTGACCACCCGTGGTCAAAGGTCCATTTCTGAGAACCCCCTAGTTGATCTCAACGAGGTTGAGCATCACGAAACCGCAGAGGCTCGAGGAGTCCACGCGATTGATCAAGGGGGGCACAATAAGGATGAGACTATCGCTCTTCTACAAGGTCAGATGGCTCTCCTTACTACCTAGATAGTAGTGTTATAGGCAGATAGGACTGGGTCAAACTTTGTCTCACCTCCGACGCAGATATAGATACGTTTGGTGACACCCGTTGTGCCTCCTGAACCTGTGAGGCATATTCATGCCACCTCTTCTGACGTTGTTCAACATGAGCGTGCACCTTCTGACTTACAGTTCCAGTCCTTAGTGGATACAAAGGTTAAGACCACCTTAGCAGCTCGACAAGGAGAGATTATATTGTGTAGAGGCCGGCCTTATCCTAAGGCTTATGAGTAAATACCATGCCCTCCAAGGTTTGTCCCTACACAGCTCCAACAATTTGATAGGGTCAAAAATCCCCGACGACACATTGTTCAATTCCAAGCATTGTGTAGCAACGTCGGTAATAACGACGCTTTGCTCCTTTGCCTCTTTGTCACTAGTTTGCCTGGATTAGCTTTTGAGTTGTATGCTGATTTATCAAACGATACCTTCAAACATTCGCCGAATTAGAGGATGACATCGTGAAACGATTTACCTGCTCTTAGCAGCGGGTCACCATGAGCGACCTAATGTTGGCCCAACAAAAGCCGAACACCCAGTAGACTTTGTCATTCATTGAAGAAACTTGAGTATGAGAGCCTCTAATTCAAGAGCAGCATGCTGTCGCATTCCTCATGGGTAAAAAAAAGGTTCCATTTCGGTCTTGTTGAAAATAACTCTTATCAAAACTTTTGAAGAATTGATAGAAAAGGTGGTCAACTTGCAAGAAATCGCAGGGGCTTTAGTCCTTGAAGGTGACGATAAAACCAAGGACAAAAAGTCCGCTACAAAGGTTCCTTCGAGAGGAGCGGAAGAGAGCTTAGCTTTGACGACAGTCGATAGAAGACTAAAAAGCCTGTCATGTTCGTCGAACAAGCCACCCGTCTTCTCAGAAATGGATGACCTCGCATTCTGAACAAAAGAAGTCTTAGGTATACTCTTTCAGGTAAGAATGTTTTAGGAAAATCTTCAAAAATCTTATCAAACAGGATATACAGCTTCCCAAACCAAAGAAGCCCAAGGAGGTCGCGAAGACCGGCGAGCCCGACTACTGCCACTACCATAAACACTTGGGCCATGTGTTAGAAGACTGCTATGCGTTCAAGAATTGGCTTGATAGTAAGATCCCCAACGCCTCCTGCATGATGATCTCCACATCACCCGATAACAAGATCTTTACCTCTCATGATGAGGAGGTCGAGTTAAGGATGCCCCTCTCGAATTGGAGGACAACATCTCTTCAACTGTTAATATGTGATCATAGTTAACTTAGGCACAGTTGACGACCTCATCCTACCTTCATAAGCAAACTCCAATCTGACTCTATGGCTGCTAAAGTAATAGAAATCCTCAAGGAGTTTCAAGGATGTCTTGCCTAGAGCTATTCTGAAATGTCTGATTTAGCTTCGGAGGTGGTCGTCCACCATCTTGCCATTGATTCGAGTATCACTCTGGTGAAACAATCCCCTCAGAGAATACGGCCTGACGCAATTACATCAGAGAGTCGGTGTGATCATGCCGACCCTATGGGCAGAGCGGCGTGACCATGCCGACCAATCCAGTTTTTAAAATCTAGCCCTAGAGGCTATGGGGACGCATGCCATCTAGAGACGAAATTTCAGAGATTTCCTTGGGCTTGAGGAGATATGCATGGGGGAGTTAAATCTATGAGATTAGTCTCATTTGGAAGCTCCTAAGTACCCTCCATTAGCCATTGTTGGCAAAAACAAGGGTTTAAGGATTTGGTTGGGTGAGCCGGCTCTGTAACAAATCTGGACTCATCATCTGAAGCAGAAAAACTGGAAGAGGTCTCTCTCATGCCCCGATGACATATGTTCCCCTCAGGCATAAAGGTGAGCAAATTTTCCGCCTCCTTCTGGCGTCTTCTCTCTTCGCGTAAGAAAGCCCTATGCTTTTGGCTATTAGCGTTCCTGCGCTGAGTTCTCTGTAGCGGTGCATCTGGTAGTCTCTTATCATTGGCAATGACTAGGCCCCTGGTTGGTGTAGCCCCAAGTTTTCAAAATCTAGCCATAGAGGCTATGGGGACGCATGCCATCTAGAGACGAAATTTTAGAGATTTCCTTGGGCTTGAGGAGATATGCATGGGGGAGTTAAATCTATGAGATTAGTCTCATTTGGAAGCTCCTAAGTACCCTCCATTAGCCATTGTTGGCAAAAACAAGGGTTTAAGTAGGGGATTTGGTTGGGTGAGCTGACTTTAACTTGGGGGAATCCTTATTTCCTCCCCATTCAACTTCATTTCAGTTTTGAGCTCAAGGAGAGCTTTCTTGGAGAGCATTATGGAGAGCTTGATAGTGCTACAGGGAAAACACCATCTTCTTCCTCAAGAAGCTTCATCTTCTTGGAGTATAGACCTTGGAGCAAAGAAAATTGAGGAGGACTCTTCAACTTCCTCAAGGAGAAGCTCAAGAGAGTTGGGTCATTTTCCAACTTCTTCTTCACATTTCTTCTTCTTCACCGACAACTTCTCCCTCTCCGATGAATTATCTGAGGAGCACGACTAAGAGAGTTTCATCCTACTTGAAGAAAGAAGGATTTCGGTGACCTCACGGTCCCTCAAGCAATGAGAGTGTCATCCTACATGGGAGAAAGACTACTCCAACTTACTTTTCCGATAATCTCTCCGGCGAAGAGAGCTCCCTCATTGCTTTGGGGGAAAGACTTGTGTGGGTTTCTCTCCTACCAATAGGAGAGCTTCATTATACTAGATGAAACATGTCCACAACATTCTTGATAGGTGCTTGAGGGTTTGGTCGCCGACGCTATGCAAGTTGGTCGACCTATACTGGTCGACACAACCATACATCTATTAATTGACCACTTATTTCCTAGAAAAAGCTTTAGTTATGAAGCACATGCGTAGTCAAATCCTTTGCGAAAACGAGTGACCTCCCATTGCAAACCCTAGATCTAAATCCTAGTGAGTCAGAATTTCAATTTCTCGCGGCTTTGACGCTTCCAACCTTCATTTGAGGGGTTCGAATAGTTCGACTTGAAGAATGTGAAAATCTTTATAGCTAACACATTCTACAAGATCATGGAGGGATTATAGGACGAAAAAAACTTTGTAGTTAATCCCTCCGACAAATAGTGAAGGGCCTCTCCTACGAGAAATCAGAGGATGAAGTTCTCCATAGTCTTCACCAAATTCGAAGGCGACTATGCCGCATATTCAAGAGCTAAAACTCTAAGTGCCTATGTGAGATCGTTACATGAGTGTGACTCGCTATCAATTGTGATCATTCGCATTGCATGATGTACTGTCACAATATTTATTTTGCATAAAACATATTGCATGTGCCATTTTGGGATCGATCGGCCGCCACGGCCTGTTTAGTGTACCATTTGGAGTTAATTGACCGCTCCGACTAGGTCGGCCGACAAATTAGGTCTGACCGGCAGCCCCGACCAAGTCTATCGATCACTTTAACCTAATTAGCCGTCCCAACCCTATCGACCAATTACCTTGGTCCAGTTGGCCACCTTAGCCAGACTAAGCCTATTGGTTACGTTGCCCCGGGTTGACCACCCCGGTTGACACAACAGGTCAAACAACCGATTCCACTTGCATAGTGTGTGTTATACACGTGCATTAGTATTGATTGAATGAACTTGCATTAGCACATTCGTCACTTGCGCTCTTGTCGTTCACCTTTGAGGATATACCCTCATATGCTTGCAATGAGTATCTGTGCCTTACAACGACACATTATTCTGAATATCTACTTTGTGGCATCCTTATGTCATTAACACCATGTCACAACGTCACAAGTGATTCGCACTTAAACATGTGCACTACTGCATGATTGCCTTGCATGATATCTTGCATTTCTATGACTTATATGCTCGAAGTTGTGTGCATTTGG